TGTAGGCATGTTTCCCAAAATCCGGACATTTCACAATGTAAAACTAATCCTTAGTGTATTCAATAAAAAGTTAGTGAAATAGATGGATCAAGATACGACAAAAATTGCTCTTACCACGTTGGATGCTGTACCTCCAGGGCAACAAGCAAGCAATATCAAACCAACTGAGACAGCAGGTGGAAGCCCCAAGGTTTTGCTAATGATCCATCCAAAAGAAGGCATAATTGTATACTGAGCAACAAATCCAAAAAGTATCTGCTCATAACCCAAAACAAGGAAATTGTGAACTAGGGAAACCTGAATATTGAAGCCCACACTTCTATTTGCCAAACACTTATTACTCCACAGGAAAACCAATAAAAATTCTTCACTCCAATCATTTTAAAACCCTATGTTGAATAGTTGAACTCAACTTTGCTGCTATTTATTTTTTTTTTTTTCCTTCCCAAAGTTCGTTTGTTACTAGTAATTGTTATGAAGGAAAAAGCAAGAAAGGGTCTGTTATATGCATGTGTACATTGTAGAAGTAGCTACCAAAATATTAGGGAAATTTTAGTCAAAACCCCTCAATTGGACCCTTGTTTGGTGAAAATAACAATCCAATTTATTTTTCTTCATAAACCCCCTAAGGAGAAATCTCATAATTGAGTAATGACAAAGTAAAATATTTTTTTTCATTTTCTTTCTTGGACAATATTACCAAAATAACATGTTACTATGAATCAGAGTAATATTTTATTGTCAGTTACTATCAAACAAAGTAAATGTTACTATAAGATAGAATAACATGTTACTGTCAAACAGAGTAACATGTTAATATTACTGTTTACATCAATTTCAACGGTAATAATTTAAAAAAAAAAGAATTTCATAGATCTTATTTGATAGATCTTGATGAGAAAATTCTAAAAATATTAATTTTATTAAAAATTGACATCTACATCAAAAGTTATATTATTTTAAAGTTTAATATTTTGATAATAGTGATATTTATTGGACTTTTTAAGAAATTTTTTTTGTACTTGTCCTTAATGGGTGTCCTAAATAAGTGCACTTTTTGTCTTTTTGGACTAAAAAGTTAAGAAAAAAAATATAGATGTTTGGGTTAACTTTTTGACTTTTTATGAAAAAATATGTATTAAAAAATTGAATAAAATTGTAAAATTACGAAATTGCCCTCGCTGACAAGAGAGTGCAGTACTGGCAAACACTTTGTCTCTTTTCAAAATTTTTTTTTTAATGGCATGTGTGGCTACACAGTGTGCTATGTAACTTTTTGACTGGGATGTGTGGCTGCATCGTACCTGTGCAGCGTTGTTTTTCCTTTTTTTTTTTTCAATTCAAAGATTTCCCTCCAAAAGAGGTAACTAGTATGAATTTTTTTTGCATTTTTAGTGATTTTTTAGCTTTTTGGATTTTCTTGAGGATGCCAAATTTGGCTTAAAATTTTATTATGAGGGGGTTTTAACCAAATCTCACCAAACAAAACCTATTGCAACATATAAGAATTTTACGGATTAAATTTTTTTATCTCCAAAAGCAAAAAAATTTTTACAAAAAATTGTTGAAAACAAATTATTGTTGTTGCTAAAAAAATCATTTTAAAAAGTCAAAAAAATTACTTTTTGTGATAAAATTTTAAAAATATCGCTAATAAATGGGAACAAAATATTTGTTTCCAAAATGATAATAATTTATCATTAAATGTCTAATTTCGTCTCTAAAAAAATAATAATGACACTTTTAGTAATACAAATAATTCATTCTGAAAAAATGATTTTACCCCAAGACTGTTTAGATCATTGATAGACAGGTATTTAAAAATAGGAAGGAAAAACATAAGGGTGAAATTATTGGTTGTAGTGGCATCTAGATCTGCCACATGGGTTGTCGCTTATGATGTAAAGAAGGTTAGCCAAATATTGTCCATGACATTAAATTGATACAATATTGATAATGATTTTTTAAAAATTAAATTAAAATTAAAGGATAAAATAATTTACTTGTTCTTTTCAAAGTAATTAAGGAATTGATATGTAATTTGAAATAGTTCATTTTTTTTAATTAATTAATGTGTCATTGATTTCTATCTAATTTCTTGACAAATGCTATAGTTCAATTAAATTGACATAATGTAAATTTTTTTAATATAATTAAAATTATAAATACTAAATTAACACAAGAGGTAATTTACAAGGGTTACAGGTATATAATTGCCTTACATATGTCAAAACAAATTATTGAAAAAGAAAAAAAAGAGAGGAGAACACTTTTAGCAAGTAGTTGGAGAAGAGAGAAGGAGAGTTTGGAAGGGATTGAATGGCTGGAGCTTGTTCAAGGGGAGGGTGGTTGTTGAAGATATGGAAGAAAAAGAGAATTTAATTTGAAAACAAGTGAAAAAATACATATTTTTGTATGATGTTTAGTCTATGTTATTTTTAAACTAAAATTTAAAAATAAACATATTTAGTCAGTTGTAAAGGAAAAAAATTGTTAGTTTATATTAATTGCATTCTCTCTCCTCTTAGGAAGAAAGAGAAAGAAAATTTAATTTTAAAATAAATGGAAATACATTTTTTTAAAGGGTTTGGTGTCGTTTGGTAACACTTACGTTTTTAGTTTTCTGTTTATATTTACAAAAATTTTAAAAACTCAAATAAAAACTTGTTTAGTAAATTTTTGAGTTGTAAGTCAGTGGTCTCAGTTTATAAATTTGGTCAAAAAATGTAAACTCAAAAAATGTATTTCCGTTTTGAGTTTTTTTTTTTACCACCCAATATTAGCCATGTCAATTTCTAAACCATAAGTCATGTATCTTGCATTTCGAATATTATAATTATCAATTAACAAAGGGTAATATTAAACGAACCAAAATAAAAGTCTCATGTCCCAATCAAATTAATCATTTTTTATCATTCTACATTGTCAAGGGATAAAAATATTCTTGTATGTTTTTCCTGGGTTATTTCTGAAGTTCTTAATTAACTTTAATTATGTTTAAATTTTGAATTTTTAGACACATTTACAAAGGGAAAAAAATGAAAAAGAAAAAATAAACTTCTTTATTTCTCTTCCTTTTTTTTTGCACCATAATTTAATATCCAAATACAATCTTGATTAATCTGAAACATTCACATTCAGTACTAATCCACCATGACAATTTTAATTATTTTTCTGCTAGTTGATATCCCACACCAAGACTGTTGGGAAATTAATATGCACAATATAATTAAGTAGATAAATCCTAGCATATAATAAGATGAAATCAATGCAGAATTTCCTACTACGTACGTTGCTTAATGCCTTGTTATTATGGGTATCACTTGTTTCTGATTCTTTCTTACTATAGAACCTTATTATATACCAAATCTTTTTATTAAAGTAATTGGAAGACATATTTTAATAGTCTTGTCCACGTGTCATCAATTGGCCCAAACAACAAAGGCTAGCTTCGTTGGTATCCCATAAAGCTGTGGCAGACCACTCAAAAGAAGCCTAAGCTATCAACCACTCTTCTATTTGCATAGGAATATGTGAATGTTAGAGGAGACCCTCTGGTATGGTGCGGATGTCACACATACCACCCCCCCCCACTCGCTACCACCTATCCCCCGCCACTGTCACCCACCCACCTACCACCACCAGCTACCTGCTACCCACCACCCACCGTCACCACTTTCCACCATCGTCTTCCGTCGCCACTTGCCACCACTTGCCATTTCTCACTATTTTTTATATTTTTAAAGTTTTTAAACATTTTGTCAATTACCAAATGTGTTTGTAGTTTATGTTTTTCAAAAAATAAACAAAAATCAGTTTATAAAATTTTTATAAATACAAACTAAAAACGTAAACGTTACCAAACAGTTCTCTTTGGTTGGGTATCCAACTAGGGAGATATTATTGGACTTGGTGGGTCTTCTCCAGGAAATATCTCGATAATCTGATTTATTAATTTTTTAAATTTTATTAAGTAAAATATTCATACATAAATAAAATGATCAGATATTAACAACATATAATCAATTCATATTTATATATAAAAAGGATCCACCATAATAATAATGTGTCGGTGACAATTTTAAATAACAAATCATTTTCATGTATCTTTAGTTAGAAATAAATGAGTATTAATTTGATATATATATATTTTATTTTAAATATATATATTTTTGTTTATATGTCATTATTGTTCATTGAATTACACAAGTCACACACAAGAAAAGCCAGTCAGTCATGATTTTGCATGGCCGCTGATTCACCCATACCCTGGGCTAGAATGGCTTGACAGACATTACTTACTAACGTAACATCTTAAATTTTCACTTCTTTTGATTCACCTAACTCTGCATCACGAAATTGAAAGGCAAGTGCTATTCTCGAGACACTCTCACACCCAAGTCTCTTTTCACTATGGAGTATGGATATTTTGAAAAATATATTATATTTATATTAAGTATTTGTTAGTGTATGATATATTATATAATATTTTTCATATGTATCAAGTATACAAAATGCATACTTAATTTTTTTTCTTAATTTTTGAAGTACTCAGATATATCTAATATATAATCAAATCAAGTCGTACCGTAATTTAGTTGAAATAATATTTTTTTTCTATTTTAAAAATAAAACTCATTTCACTAGGTTTTTCTTTTATTTTTAGTTTTATACTTAATATAATTTTAAAATTAAATTATAATTTATAAGTTATTTAATATATTGACATTTAATTTTGATTTATACCTTTGTTTTTGGCGTTAAATATTAATTATAAGTTGGATCTTAATAAATTAAACTATTTAATTAATTTTTACATTACTCAAAATTAAAAATAAATATTTTTTTACAAGCGTACCAAACTCAAGCCGTGCTCACACCTTACTTTTTCACATTTTACCATATGTACTGGTATTATACCAATATTAGTACTCATATGCATGCCCGTCTTTCATAACTCTCTTATTGCCATACATACATTTACTACAACCCGTTTAATACTGCAACTGTCCGCTACCCTTCACTCTCTCCATAAATACCACACCAAGTACGATCACAAGCACTGAGTGAGAAGCTAACTGTGATCACTTGCTTTTACACAGAGAGAGAGAGAGAGAGAGAGAGAGAGATGGCAAATGGGTATGTTCTAGTGTTTATGGTTGCATTGATACTAGTTCATGCAAGTGCAAGGACTGTGCCAAGTACCAAAACAACTAGTGTCAATGATGAGCAAACTAACGCTGTGAATGTGCCTAATGCCAGCGCAGCTAGAGGAAAGGGTGTCAAGGATAAAAAGTGTGGTGTCATCTTCGCTGGCGTTGGCGGCGCAGCCGGGGTTGGTGGTGCTGCTGGGGTGATTCCGCTTGGTGGCATCGGTGGAATTAGTGGACTTGGAGGTGGTGCTGGTGGGCTTGGTGGCAGTGCGGGCAGACTCGGTGGTGGTGCTGGTGGACTTGGTGGTGGCGCAGGTGGGCTTGGTGGTGGTGCAGGTGGGCTTGGTGGAGTAGGAGGTGTAGGTGGTGCAGCAGGTGGTGGCGCAGGTGGAGTTGGGGGTGGAGTTACACCCTAGATTTTCTTAATTTTAATAATGCATTTATTTGTGGTTATTTTGCTAGTAGGTCTATTGTTGGTGTTTTGGTTATGGTAATTAGCAGAAGCCCTTGTTTTTTTTTTTGCTATGAATTAACTTATGTTTCTAAGTCATTGTAAGTTTCTTTGAATTTGAATGCATGGTCTTTGTTTCTAATGTGTCAAGTGAGTTTTTATGCTCTCTTTCACTTGCGTTTCTTAATTTCTTTTCCTCGTTTTCTTGTCGATTTAATCACAATTCACTTCTATAATTATTGAAATATTTGATCATTGAAATTACAAATCATACAAATGCTTGTAATTATAAATGAGAACATTATTGCAGTGTACCCTTTTTGCGGGATATACGTATGCTTTTTCCAGTGCAAAATTTTTCATTTTAATGTTCTCTTACTCCGAAGAAGAAAAAAAACACATAAAAAAAATTACTTACAAACATAATGGCTAGTCCGAATTCAACTCTTAAAGCTCATAGAGTGAAAACAAAAGAAGGGTATTTCTTAATATTTTCTTGTATCCAAGCTCTTGGTGCTACCATTATTGTTGAATAAAATATATCTTCACCTCCGATTTATTGATGTTAAGGATTCAATTGAGAACAAGTTTTGAGTTAAAATTTGTTTTGACATCAAACAAATTTGGGATTAAACAGTGATAATTTCACATCTCTAGACATGTTTGGCAAAAATAATTTTTGCTGGCAAAACAGAGTCAATTTTATTTTAATGGATGAAATGAAGTAAGCACACATAACAAAAGTAAATTAAGCTTCTTTGTTCTTAGCGGCCATGACCACCACCCCTGCCAAATCCAAAACCACCCCCTCCACCACCTCCTCCACCTCCACCTCCACCTCCAAACCACCACCACCACCACCACCACCACCACCACCACCACCACCACCACCACCACCACCACCACCACCACCACCACCACCACCACCTCCACCTCCTCCACCAATCCCTCCATTACCTCCCCCACCACCCCCTCCCACACAATCACCATTGCCGCCTCCACAATCTCTGTTATTTCCATCGTTGCCTCTACCACCGCCTCCAATAGATCTGTCTCCATTCCTTCTACCACCATTCCTTCTTTGACTACCGTCATTCGATCTTCTTGCACCATGGCAGTCTCTATCATCATCTCCACCCCCACCGCCAACACCACCACCAGGGTTGGCGCCAGGTACTAAACCAGTCGTTCCACCTGCTGACTCACCACCACCGCCTTCTTCACCACCTCCATAACCACCATAATTTTTACCATTGTCACCTCCTTCCGCACCACCACCACCACTGCCTACCACCACCCCCGGATTGACTCCAGGTGCACCTCCACCACCACCATAATCATCACCAACATTGTGACTTCCACACTCTACATGCCCACAATCCACTTTTCTTTCATCCAATCCATTGCCTCTAGTAAGGTTTGATGTATAAACCTTAGAAGAAAACAAGGCTAGCACTAGGAGTAGAACTTGAAAAGTTAAATGTAACAGCTTCATTTTTGCATCTAGCACAATAGTATGAGTAGACCAGACAGGATTTATATAGATAAAAAACTATAGAAGACGCCAATGCAGATCACTTCTCTGTGTGAAGAGAAAAAAAATAAAAAATTACAAAAAAGTTTGCATGGGGCATGCACGTGAATCTGGCAAGAGCTGGTCCAGAGAACAGACTCAAGCTCTAACTTTGAGTACGTGGTGGGCCTAGGAGGGTCTTAGCATTTCAGCAAGATTTGTACGAAATGGTACGTGGTTGGTTCTGACCACAGAATGGCTAGTATGTGCTAACCTTTGTGGTTCCAATGTTAATTTGTCCTCACACTCCATATTGTTTGTATTGTTTTCTGAATCAGTTGTGTAAAATGCTACTAATAAGTGTTCAAAATTTTATTTGTAATTTAAATGTGAACAAAATTCATTTTAATTATAGTTCACAACATATTAATTGGAAAGTGTTTAGGTATATAAGGTGCATATCATATGTACTTGCATAAATTTTCATAATATACATAAGTTATCTTACAAAATCGTGTAAATTCTCACAAATATATATAAGTTATGATTTCTCAATTTTTTATGAGTTACGTATGTTTATAAAAATTTACATAATTTTCTGAGATAATTTACATATATTTGTAAGAATTTATACAAATGCATATGGTATGTACTTACATAATTAAAAATTGTCAAGGTAGTTGAAGGTGTTGGCCCATTCTCAACCTCAAAAGCCATCGATAGGAATTGCAGGTGGGAAAGAGGATATGGAGCAAGGTGGGTGGATCCCAGTAGTGAATCATAGGAAAAGGCGAGAAGTATGGAGCAAGGAAGCAAGAAAAGGTTTATTCTCTATCTTTGTGGATAATATACCGCAGAAGATGGATACTAAAGCTTTGTTTCAAGTATTCACAAAGTTTGGAGTAGTGAGGGATGTCTTTATCCCACAAAAAAATGTTCGGTTACCTGTTCCCGAACAAATAAATAATGTTTGGGCCTGTGTTTCTGAAATTCAATCATATGTTCGATAGTTCAGTCCCGAAAAAATGACGAACAATTTTTATTATTTTTGCCATTTTTTTTTCAAGAAAACTTACCCTTATAAGGCCAATTTCCTTTGAATTAAGAACACCATCAAAGTTATAAATCTCCTTTGAACTTTTATTGTTGCACTTCTTTAGTCTCATGGAGTTATGGTTACTGGACATACATTCACTCATTGTCATTGCAGGAAAAGTGTAGGTAATCAAATGGTTACCACCGTTGCTGCCGGAATATTGCCGCTAAAGAATTTTCAAAGTTTTGAGGATGGGTAGGTTTTGAAGGTGAGATTTGACAAAGATGGATGGGTGGTGATGGAGGTGCACTACAAGAAAATGCACTTTAAGGTTTTTAGTAGCTGGATGGAGCAAGGTGGGTGGATCCCAGTAGTGAATCATAGGAAAAGGCGAGAAGTATGGAGCAAGGAAGCAAGAAAAGGTTTATTCTCTATCTTTGTGGATAACATACCGCAGAAGATGGATACTAAAGCTTTATTTCAACTATTCACAAAGTTTGGAGTAGTGAGGGATGTCTTTATCCCACAAAAGAGAAGGAAGGCCACAAACTCTAGATTTGGTTTTGTTAGATTTGATTGCTCCGTAGCGGCGAACATTGCTATACAGAAAGCCAACGGATTGTGGGTCGAGGATAGAGAGCTTAAAGTCAAAATGGCAGAGTATGGCAGAATAGAAGATAGATCAGTTAAAAGAAACCAATCTGGAGGGATTTTTGGTGGACATGAAGATAGGGGAAGGTTTGATCGAGTTCGTCATGGTTTACAGAGATCCTTTGCGGATGTGGTCAAAGACGGAATCGATACACCGATGGGCAAAACAGCGTCTACCATTAAGGGTGGGTTATGAAGATAAGTCTGTTAATAATCTGGTAGTGGAGGATGAAGATGATGAAGCTGAGCTGGAAACCAATCTGGGTGACACCATAGTTGAAGAGACTACAAGCGGCGTGGGGAACAACTTGGTGGTTGAGGAGCGTATGGAGGTGGCGGTGGCAGAGAGTAGCCTAGAGGCTAATGATGACAATCTAAGGATTGAGGAGCAGCTATGTACACCTGGCTTTCTTAAGAGTTTAAATGGGGCTGTTGTTCATGGGCCGGGTATTAACCTTGAAGTAAATTTGGGCCATTTATATGGTCCAGTGGAGTACAATAGATCTGATATGGTAGTGAGGGGTCCAAATATACAATCTAATGGATTAACTAATTCTAGTTGGGCTCCTATAAGACCCAGCATGCCTACGGTGCAAACAAGTCCACATGGAGCTAGAAGGAGCAGAATTAATGATCAGAAGTCAAAAAGGAAAGGTAAAACAAAGGTTAGTTTTGCTGGAGCATCAAAATCAGCTAATGAGGTTAGTGGGTATGCATACTTTGCTCGTTTGTATGGTCATAAAGGTGCATCATCAAGCAAGTCCTCCCCTAAATGCGCTGTGTTTAGGGCTGCTGCTGCAGCTTTGTCCCTATCTGCTTCTAATGAGAGCCACTCTGGCAGTAGAAGCCATATCCTTAGTGAGGCACAAGCAAACATTCAGTTGGGGAAAATTCTGGGCATTAAATATAAAGGCAAAGAGGCAGAAGTTCTGGAAAAAATGGTAGACCTAGAAGTTGTTGACAGAGCAAGGAGGAAGACGAAGAAGAAAGAATAGGAGCATTGAGTCTACCTACAGGGTCTGAATGGTATTAAAATTGTTTTCTAATGAAGTTGATGTCTTGGAATGTTAGAGGATTGGGGAAGCTAGAAAAGAGGGGAAGGATTAGGAAGCTCATCTATGAAAGAAAGGTGGATTTTGTGCTTCTTCAGGAGACAAAACAAGTTTCTATTACTGAGAATGTTGTTAGAGCTCTGTGGGGTAAGAGAAACATGGATTTTATGGCTGTGGGTTCTGAAGGGACTGCGGGGGGTCTTCTTTGTATCTGGGACCCAGACTTTTTTCAGCTGGTAGATTGTTGCAGTAATAGAAGATTTGTTCTCTTATCAGGTATTTTGTTAAATACTTTTGAATGTACTATTGTGAATGTATATGCCCCCAATGAGGTGGGTAGCAGATGCAAATTTTGGGATTCCTTACTAAAGTTAAAATCTGAGTTCCCAAAACCATGGTGTTTGGGGGGAGATTTGAATGAGATTAGGAATATTGGTGAAAGGGTGGGCTGTTCCAGAAGAGATAAAGGAATGAGGGATCTGAATTCTTTCATAGAGAGTTGTGAGTTGCATGATCTACCTTTGTTAGGTAGGAAGTTCACATGGTGCAATGCTCAAGATGGGGAGAAATGGAGTAGGATTGATAGAATTCTGCTTAATCCGGAGTGGCTGCTGAGGTATAATTTCAAAGTTTGGGGTCTTCCTAGGCTTTTTTCTGATCATTGCCCTATTTTGTTAATGGATGACGGGAGGGATTGGGGGCCTAAGCCTTTTAGGTTCATTAATGCTTGGACTAGTCATCCTAGTTTTCCCTCTTTAGTGGCTAAGGTTTGGCATGAATCTAGCATTACTGGGAGGGCTGGGTATGTTTTGTTTCAAAAACTGAAAATTCTAAAGGTGGAGCTGAAAAAATGGAATTTTGAAGTTTTTGGGAATCTTGCAACAAAAATCAAGAAGGCAGAGGAGGAGTTGGTTGAGCTGGACATTGTGGCTGAAGATAGACCTCTGGTAGAGGATGAGAGGAGCAGAAGACAGGAAGTGAGAGTTGAAGTTTGGAAGCTTAATCGTATGATGGAATGGCTATGGCAACAAAAATCTAGAGTAAATTGGACCATTAATGGAGACAAAAATACTAAGTATTTTCATCTTATGGCTAGCAGCAGAAGGAGTAGAAATTCTATTTCTACCATCACAGTAGAAGGAGAAGTCTTGGAGGAGCCAGAGAAGGTAAGGTATGAGGTTGTACAACATTTTAAGTGGCAATACACTGAAAGGTGGGAAAGAAGACCAGTTTTGGGTGGTACCTTTAAATCAGTTTCAGAAAGTGCTGCGTTCCATGCTCTGGAAGCTGATTTTTCTGAAGGTGAAGTTAAGGCAGCTGTTATGGAGTGTAGTGGTGATAAGGCGCCAGGACCGGATGGGTTTAATTTGTTGTTTTTTCAGAAATTCTGGAAGATAGTTCATCCTGAGGTTATGCACTTCTTGCAGGATTTTCATGCTTTTAGCAAGCTTTCCTATGGTTTTAACAGTTCATTTATCACTCTCATACCTAAGTCTGACAACCCCATTGGTCTGTCAGATTATAGGCCTATTGGTTTGGTGGGTAGTATGTACAAAATTCTCTCCAAGGTTCTGGCGAATAGACTTAAGAAAGTTCTTCCTACTGTTATTGGTGAAACACAATCTGCTTTCTTGGGAGGGCGAAGTATATTGGATGGTGTTTTTATTGCTAATGAGATTGTTGATGGATGGAAAAAATCCAAAAGAAAAGGTGTTATTATCAAACTAGACTTTGAGAAAGCTTATGCTTCAGTTAATTGGGCGTTCCTATTCTCTATGTTATCTAATTTTGGTTTTGGGTCAAAGTGGGTATCATGGATGAAGGAGTGTATATCTACAGGAAGGTTGTCTATTTTAGTGAATGGTTCTCCAACTGAGGAATTTTCACCACAGAGAGGTCTCAGACAAGGTGATTCCTTGTCTCCTTTCTTATTCAACATAGTGGTAGAAGGTTTGAATATTTTAATGAACAGGGCAAATGAAAAAGGCATTCTCAAAGGGGTAAAAATTGGTGTAAATGAGGTTATGATATCTCATCGGAAAGAGGGAAAAACTTGGGAGAAACAATTTTCCCTGAAACGTTTTTCTATTTGAACATGGGCCCAACAATTTATATCAATCTTTCACACCCAATTTCCTTCATTTGTCAACAGAAACTCCATCCATCTATTTCTTTCTCCTCCCCCCCTTTCGTTACTTTTGAGTTTTTCTTCATACATGATAGGCTATAAATGTGACCCCATT